AGGATTGAAGTCGGCTCAGTGTAGGCCCTGAGGAAGATGTTGCACTGTCCTCTAGGAGGATGTAACCAGTTTAGAAAGATCCCCAGGCGACCCCGCCGTGGGCCATCACTGAGGGATGGCTGTGTCTGTGCTCTCTCGCTCCAGCCCTCGATAAACACTGATCGGGAACAATCGGAGTCGGAAGTATTATTTTGCTCTCACGGGCTGGAAGCTAGGGTTTGGAGCTGTCACAGCGGGTACGTGGCAAGGCTGGTGTTGAACCGTCTGTCCCACCCGCACCCCTGCTCTTATGGCTCACGGTGCCCTCGTCCTCAGGAACCTCCTTTCAAGAAGCACTTCCACAGAAATCCAGATCCAACCCATTGCCGTTCCCAGTGGAAACTGAGTCAACTGCCCCAGACCAAGGCAGTTCCAGAGATGCTGAAACAAGGGAAGTCCCCGGCCCCTCGGTCCCTGCCATGGTCACTGTTCTCTGTGTGAGCCTCACTGCAGCAGAGTCTTCTGGAAGCCACAGATGTCAGTGACTGAACTCAGGGAGCACTGTACCTGTGCAATTGCTGCCGTCAGCTAAAAACGCGTCGCTGAGCTAGAAAGCCTCACGAACAGGAAGGAATGCAGGGGGAGGGCCAGGAAGTGGAGAGGAGAATTCTGAATCCTGCAAAGCTCCTGTTGGAGAGCGCAGTTCCAGTGAGGACCTTGGGGAGGCCATGCTAGCTGAGGTCCCCTCTCCCTGCCCATCTGAGGCCCAGATCATGGCCTGCTGCATGCTTTGCCACTTGGAAGCTGAGTGTAGTGCTTCTGAGGGTGACCACAGCTCTCAGTGTCTGGGCACGGACAAGCCAAAGCACACCCACGCTGACCGTGAACGTGGCCATCAGCAGGTGGGATGTCTGAGGGAGACGGCCAGAGGCTACAAACAAACACCTGGGCCTCCAGGTAAATCTGCATGTCCACCGGCCGCAGTCACAGCCACCTTTAAAAATAGGTGCCAACATCAAACATACAGAGCCTGCTCGTTGTCGGGAATACCAAAAGTGCAGAAAAGAACAGAGAAAATTTCAATGTCCATAACCTATAATCCAAAAATAATCCAGAAATATCTACAACTAATATTTTGGTTTCTTTCTTTCCCATCCTTTTTCTGTCCTTTGTAAACATTTTACTCAGATGTCTGCTCTTGTATCCTGTTTTATTCTCTTGCATTCTATCATGTCATGGCCAATCCTCTTCTTAAAGACTGCCTAAAAAAGGATATTTCCTGGATTTCTAACTGCTTCCACTATTCAATAATCCAAATAAATCCCACTTGCGTTAACTTGTTCTCTGTATTCTGCAAAGTAGCAAAAACCCCAAACCAAAGCTTCTCATTTTGTGAGTGACGACGCCAGCCCCCTAGAAAACCCGAAATCCCCCATCGACTCCCAGACTGGCGTGTTCAGACGGGAGCCGTCGTTAACGGGTTGCTGCTGAGATGGGACTGTAAACAGCCGGGTCCAGGCTCCTCTCTCCTGCCTTCAGCCCACACAGGACTCCATTCTAGAACACACCGCCCCGGGGGGAATTTTAAGTTACTCGGGACATTAGGCAGCCGTTAAAATGACTTTATAGCATGGAGAATGCTTACACTAAAACTTGATGTTAAATTTAAGAAGTGGGATGAAAATTTATATATACAACATAATCACCACAAAGCAAAAAAAGGCACCAAAAAGGGAAGTAGACCAAAATAAGTGGTTATCTCTGCATGACCTTATTATGGATGATTTTTCTCACCACTTTTAGATATACAGTCATGTGACCCTTAACGACAGGGACACGTTCTGAGAAATGCATCATTAGGCGATACCTTTGCTGTGTGAACATCATAGGATGTGCTTACACAAACCTAGATGGTATAGCCTACTACACACCCAGGCTGGATGGTACTGAGCTCATGGGACCACACTGTATATGCAGTCCGATGTTGACCGACATGTCGTTATGTGGCACAACACTGTATGTTAACGCTCTATCATGAGCATATGTTACTGTTATATGTTAGAAAAATCTGAAACAAGGCAGTTTCTTGATCCAGCTCAAATTCACCCCCTCATTGCCCAGCTTTCTGCCTGAATTTACCCTCACGTGTCCACACACCTGTCTCCTCCACTGGTCCGGGGCTCCAGGCTGCATTCCCTGGAACACCTAACAGTGCTCAATTAGTAGTTAAATGATGGGGAAAAGCAATGTGGTAGGCTGCCTCAGTGCCCAGCACGTCTACTCTCATGGAGAGATTCAGAAGGTGTGATGAAAGCTTTTACAGTCGCTGGTGCCTGCATTGCCTTTTCGAGAGTGAGAAGAAGAAGAATGGTGATGATAAGAAAGCCAGTGCGGATGATAACAGATGACAGAGATGAGACAGCAGATAAGAGTCCATGTCAAGGTGAAATTAGGCATTTGCTGCCACTGGTGCACTGAGCTCAAACATCGTTACTTTGAAAAAACATCCATGAAATGGCATCAAGAAAATGAATGTGTGGCCACCTAGAACAGAGGAGATATTCACTTCCTAATTGTGAAATATGAAATCGTCCGCACAGGAAAACTGAGGAACATCCATTTTACTGCCATGTAAATTTCATAATTTATAGCTCAAAATAAAATAACACGATACAGCTCTAGCACTTTCAACTTTTTTTTTTTTTTTAAAGATTTTATTTTTTCCTTTTTATGCCCAAAGCCCCCCGGTACATAGTTGTGTATTCTTCGTTGTGGGTTCTTCTAGTTGTGGCATGTGGGACGCTGCCTCAGCGTGGTCTGATGAGCAGTGCCATGTCCGCGCCCAGGATTCGAACTAACGAAACACTGGGCCGCCTGCAGCGGAGCGCGCAAACTTAACCACTCGGCCACGGGGCCAGCCCCTAGCACTTTCAACTTTTATAAGTATAGCAATAAGGTAAAAATCATAAGCACTTTAGTCCTAAGATACTTTTAACCTAAGAACTTTATGAAGCAGTTGCATCACTGTCTGCCCCACCCCATAGATAGGAAAACAAGCTCAGAGCCACCGCCGGCCCTCTTGGTCCACTCCCCTCATCATGGTCATCTGTGCCAGCCACTGTCCTGCATACTGGGCGCTCCAGGCTGGGCCCAGCAGAGTGCCCACCTCGCTCACCCCCGTGTTTCCCAGCAAACACAGATGGGACGTGAAAAATGCAAGAGGACTGCTTACTCAGAGTGGCAAGTGCAGGCACCAGGAGAAGAACCACGTATTGATGGCCTTTTCTAAAGTTCATAATTCCACTCTGGCAACTTATTCTAGGGAAATATTCAGAGTTATGTACAGAAAATGCAAGCACAAAAGCATCTTACACATCAAGAAGAAAAAGAACCCAAACAGAGTTTTTAAAAGGACAGAAAAAGACAACCTCAAAAAGAAAAAAAAGACAGAAAAGAAATACAAATGACTTCTAAACACATGAAATAATGACCTACTTCATTCAGAATAAGAGAGGCAAAGTGAAACCATGCTGACGTGGCATTTCCCTGCTGTCAGACCAGCTCTCTAGGCTGGGGAGGGCGTCGGGGGACCACATTCTCGTGCACTGCCTGGGAGAGGGTAAATTGATTCAATCCTTTTGAAGGGCAACAGCTACCAAACTTTCAAAAACATGTGCATTTTGGTCTAGGAATTACACTGCTAGGAATTTATCTTCAAGCTATACTCCTACAGTAAAAAATGACACATATAAGATTGTTCACTGCAGCAAACCCCTAGGAAAATGTAAATCTCAAGTAATAGGAGACCAGTTAGATAAAGCTTGATAGGTTCGTACCATGGAACAGCACTTCACTCAATAAGAGGGTGAGGAAAACTTCCGCATCCTCACATAGAAAAAAGCCCAAGACACAGTGTTCCGTGAAAAGAGCAAAATGCACCATGATACGTATATCGTGCAACTGTTCATACGAAAGCGGGGAGGAAGAGAGTATAAATTTACTTGCCGTTCGTAAAGGATCTCTGTAAAGATAAATACACCTGACAGTGGTGTCGGCGGGGAGGGCACCCGGGAGGGTGGGACGGGAAGGAGACTGTTCGCCGTGAATAGTTTCTGTACGTTTTGGACTTTGAGAATAGTTTGTTTATTTTTTAATTAATTTTCTATGAATAAAGGAAAAAATAAGAAATAAAAATCAGTGCCTGGGGTTGATGGAGGGACGGACTGCAAAGGGTGGTGACAGAAACGCTCTGGCTCTTGACTGTGACCAGGGTCCCCCAGGTGGACTCACACTCTTTCACTAACAAAGAAACAGGTTCAAAGTGATGAGGGTCCGTTAGCCACAAGTGGGGGAGCCACTGTATCCCCTAATGCTCCAACCAAGTCTATGCGCACTCTCCTTGCACACCTCCATACTGTTTGCACACCCCCATACTGTTTGCACACCTCCATATCTGGTTCACGTACCTCCATATTGTTTGCACACGTCCACATTGTTCACACACCTCCATAACTGCACACCTCCCTACTGTTTTCACACCTTCATATTGTTTGCACACCTCTATAATTGTTTATACACCTCCATAGTTGTCTGCATAGCTTCATAGTTGCTTGCACACCTTCATAGTTGCTTGCACACCCTCACAATTGCACTTATACTTGTAACGCTCACAAATGATCTCCATTTTGCAGATGAGGCTGGTCAGGGGCCGAGCCAGCATTGAGTTTACACGAACGTACTCAGCCCGTTACACACTCCTACCAGGAAATACTTAGCTGCTTGGAGCCAGGCAGGCTACAACCAAGGAGCACTGTGTAAGGAGCCCTCTCTGCACCCGGCTTCACTGACAGGCCTCCTGCCTTCCTGAGAGCTACACAGGAGTCGGATTCCTCTCGAATCCCCCGGCCCTCTTCTCCCCCGACAGCTCCTGCAGGAGCAGTGCACCAGCTGTGCCCTTGGGTGCAGAGCCCTGAGGGGCTGAGAGGGGCGACCCTGGGTGGGGCCTGAGGGGTGGCAAGTACCTTTTTCTCCCGTGGGGCCCACTCTTCCAGGCCGTCCTGGTGCGCCTTTGTCTCCCTTCTCTCCAGCATCCCCTGTGGAAGAAGTCACATGCATTTAGGACCTCGTTCTGAGCACAGGCTTCCAGTTGGTACGTGGAGGAGTAACAAGGAGAAAGCTTCTCACCCTGTCAGTGCACCAGCCAGGCCCCTTGGCCTTCCTCTCCCCAGCCCTGGGCCCCCGGGGATTTCACCCCTTCCTCGGGACCCTCTCCCATCCCTTGACCTCCTGCCGCAGAAGGCACTCAAGTCTCCCGGCCCCAGGTCTTTCTCAGGACTCTGCTTCCTTGCCCTACTTCCTCCCTCTGGGAGTGGATTTGTCCCTCTCTCCAGTTATCCTCAGGGCTTGCTCCCAGTCCGCCCTCTGGCGCCAGTGTTCCCCAAGACCCACTCTAACTACTCCACTGCCCTTCACCACCTGGATGTCAACATGAAGGGAGAAAGCATCTTAAGTCTCCTCCCACGGCCAAGCATCCCTCCTGGGCAGAGGGATGAGCGTCCCTGCTGGGCAGATGGCCAAGTGTCCCTCCTGGCCTCTCCTGCCCCTTGTCTGGCTGATACACTTGGGAAGAATACACTCAGGTGCTCGCATCAGCATCCCCTCATCCCTTCAGCACAAGGTCCCCCAAGGGTGCACACTCCTGCTCGGGGCCAACCTAATGCTTTTTCCCCAGACATGAGTCTCTTCTGCAGACTCTCTTGGTTCTGGTGTTGACACATTGATTCTACCAGATTCTAAGCCCTCATCGGATACATTCAAGCATCTGCCCAGCTCTGTGAAATCCAGCCGGCCGCTTCCTCCCCATCCACATCCCTGCCTCAGGCGCGCCAGCACTTGGGGCACGCCCATCTGCTTCTCTGCAGCTTTGGAGCCAGATGGACCACTGAGCCTACCCTCAAACTGCTCGGTGCAGGAGACAGAGATGGGAAGAAACAGTGGAGACATCCTGTGAGAAGTGATACAGGGTGTGTGGCAAGAGCACAGAGCATGGAGGCCTGTGGGGAGATATGAAGGCCCCTCCCGGGCCCCTCCGCTCTAACCCACACCAAAATGATCTTCCTAAACACAAATCCGATTATGTCGTCTCCCTTCTCAAAAGACATGCAAAACCACCAATGGGCTAAATGTCATTATAAACAACGTCTGGTTTTAAGATCCTCCTCAACACGTCTTCTCCTGGAGCCCAGGTCATTTCTCATGCTGTCCCTTCTGCCTCACCTGCCCTGATCATCAGCCCACCTGTCCAGGCTTCACCTCCTCACCTGACCTCCAGGAAGCTTTTCCTGATTCCCTCTCTGGATCCCTCTTTTCTCCAGTGACTGGGACCCTGCTCCATATCACAGTCATCTTCATATGGCCTCTTCTGCTTAACTGCTGTGCTATTCCTCTGAGTGTGTGTGTGGATGCTGATGTGGGGCCAACGTACCTTCCCGGTTGTGCACACTGCCGGCCAACATTCAAGCAAACTTCAGTTCTCTATAATTCTCTATCACCCCTTCAGTTGGTGAGAGACTTAACTGACGTTACAGATTCCCCAATGAAACTCCTCAAACTGATAATCTGGCCTAAAGGAGGGACATTCCATTTAAACTTAAGTAAACAAAAAGAAAAGCAAAGTGAGTGCCAACAGAAACTAGAAGACAGAGCTGGCCCATCCCTGTCATCCCCGTGCCACAGCTGTGAGGGCTCCATCAAGCACCTGTTGAAGAGTGGGTTACCTCCCATGGGTTGACACACACACATGGCCCCTGAAACTCTGGGTGGTTCTCAATCTTTTTCTTATATTTTGAGAAGAAAGGAAATTACTACAATCGCAATACTTGGAGAAGCACTGATAGTCTAGCAAGAAATACCAACTAACAGAAGGCACTCACCATCAAGATTCAGCAGACATTTGAGGAGCACCAACAGCAGGAAAGAGAATAACGAGAGAGGACACAGAACTCACAGGGCAGCCAGAATCTGAGTCTGAAATAAGAGACTGAATATCCTCATAATGACAAGAGAGAAAACAAGAGTAACTGAAGAAGAACGAACTAGACATCCTGTACACAAAATTAATTTTTAAAATAAATTGACCTATAGATAGGCTGAGTAACAGAATGATAAAAGCTAATGCATGAAACAAAAGAGTAGGGTGAAGATTTTTTTCACAGTGCAGCACTAAGAGATAAGGAACTTGAAAGTGTTGCTTGGTTTGAAGTTACCAAGTCGAGAGTGGAAGAAAAATCCCCCAAATTTCAATATTTATTTTATAAGAATTCCAGAAAGGGAGACTAGCCATTTGAAGCCTTAAAAGCTGTGAAGATTCAATAGCTGTGATTTCCCGGTCCTAAGGAAAGGCATGAAAGAACACAATGAAGGTGCCCACGGTGCACCACGCCGGAAAAATGAGGGGAAATAACTTAGACGTGTCAGACTGACATCACAGAACATCAAGAATAAAGAGAAAATTCATAAGCTACCCAAGAGGAAAAGGACTGCATGCATACGAATGAGAGTCGGATTGACATAAGAATTCTTATTAGCCACACGGGATACAAGAATAAAACGAGGCAAGAGCTTCAACAAAAGAGCCATAATTTAGATTGAGAGATCAGAAGAGTCCTCTCCGATGAAGCGTCTTTTCACTGAGACCTGCTGAACAAGTAAAGATGTAGCCAGGCCAAGAGCAAGGAGAAAGTGCTCTGAGAAAGGGGGACCACACCAGCCCAGGGGAGGTAGAGAGACAGGAAGGGGCTGGTCCAAGCAAGCCCACAGGGGCCGGGAGAAGATGGCACTCAGACTTCATATCTAAGGACCATGGGAAGCCACCGACACACTCTTCGTAGGGAGATAACATGGCCCGATCCATGCATGGGGGAGAGCAGTAAGTATACTATTGCAATAGTCCAGGCTATAGGCAAGCGCCTATTCCCATCTATGTGCAGCAGTCTGCTCCCACAGCCCATCTCCCCCAGTGGACTGGAAGCTCCTTGAAGACAGGGTTCACATCTCGCCCAGCTCTGGCTCTCCCGGTGCACCTGGGAGAGGCCTTGACCATGCAAGTGCTCTGTCAATACTAGTAGAAAATTAACACTAAGCATACCTGCTGGCTGTTCTTTTGTTGGTTAAGATGATTCCTAGAGTTTACGCATGGGATTCACTTATCTCCATAACTGAACCTCGCCCCAACATGTGAGGCAGGGATCATGCCCACTCTGTAGATGGAGACCCAGACCAGGAGACGCAGTGATGTGCCCAAGCTCGGCGGAGCCGCCACTCCAACTCCGGTCTTGACCACACCTCCCCAGGGCATTAAAACCCTAACTACAGTCCGACTAGGATAACCAGACCATCACTTAACCTGCACTGCCTACCCTACTTCACCCTCCTCTCAGACGGGAAAGCATAAGGACAGCACCTGTCATGACTCCTGCCCCGTCTCCACCTGCTGCCACCAGCCTGCCACCAGGCTGACCAAACAACTGGCCATAGTTAGCATTCGAGGCACGGAAAGACCCTGAACAGCACCAAACATGACCATGTGCCCCAAGGTCTGCTTACTGAGGCAGGAAAGAGGAATGAGACGTTCCTAAGAACAATAAGACTTTGAAGAGTGGGACCCGTAGGTTTTCCTTACATCTCTCAGCTGGTCAAAAATGCTCTTAAACACCGTTCTTCCTAAGGATTCTGCTAAATGGATGTATGACGGTATCAGCATGGGGTCAATGCGTTCCAGCCAGTGTGGGGTGCAGGCACCCTGAACGCCCCATTGTTCCTGCAGTGGGGCGTCCAGAGCCGGAGTCAGAAAGCCTGCTCACCACCTGGGCTATGACAACCCCAGCCTCCAGGTCCTCGCCTCTGATGAGGATGGAGTGACCTCTGTCTTGGAAAACACCAAGCTGGCTGTTGTTATAAAGTTAGCTGCTCTCCCTATCATTGCATCCCAATTTTGGAGAGGCAATGCCAAAGATGACAGAGACCCTCTCTGGCAGGATCGCCTCCTGGCCCCATTCTTTCCCAGTGACCTTGACCTCCCACTTGGAGACCAGTCCCAGACGTGCTTCTTCAGAACAAAGGCGGTTTTCAAGCACTGTTCACATTTGGCAGGGTTTGAAATGTTCACTGTCTGCTACTCCCAGGGGACATAAAGATCCATGGCCCCGCTGGTAATCACTCCCAGGCAGTATTTCTATAAACCTCTCCACTCAAAAATCATGTGCATTCCGTAATGTACGCCTGGGAGCACAGCAGCCTTTCCTACGTCCTTGTCTTCATCAGGTATCGGTTTGGGGCAGATTTACGACACAGAATTCTAAATGACAAGCTATTCCTCTACAAGGAGAGGCTAGCATTTCAACTGGCTAGCTCATTAATGAGCCGCTCTCTCCTCTCTCGAGGAAACACAGAACACGTGGGTGGTATTGACTTCTTGCTTGCCTCCCTGCAAATCACCGCCAAGTCTATGAGCAAAATGCTCTCATCCAGATTTCATTTGGGGTGATTGTCGAGCCACGTCCATTAGTGCAGAGCTCAAGATACTTTGCTGACTCGCAGCCGGCTGAGGAGGGGCCATGGGTGTTCCTTAACTCTTGTGACACCTGCCTCCATGGCTGAACAAATCAGTCTGCGAGCAGATGTCACCCCTGCCCAGCACACGGATGCAAACGCCACAGCACGCAAGCACAGCGGGTGTCAGAGGGGAGAGACAGAGAGGCCAACGGCTCATTCTGCAGGAGAGGAGCCAGGCCCGGCAACGGCCCCTCTCATGAGAGAGAGACTCCCACACACACAGGCTTCACAATGTCGTTAAGCTAATTCAATAAAACCCGTAAGAACAACTATGCCCTTTCAAAATTTCTGAGCAGCCAGCTTGCTAACGTAAATGTTTTCCTACCGACAATCAACTTTTTTAGCCACTAAGAAAAGACTGTTTTTCCCATCAAAAGGAGTTGTTATTCTCTTCAAATGCAAGGATAATGTGTTATTATTAGGCCTGTAATAGCAATAAATTTCATCTCAAGCACCAACACTGGTCAGTGGATATGGGCTGCCCAGAGTTGTGTTGAGAAAGACTCTAAAGCCCAGTCTGGATTCAGTAGAGGAAACACCAGAATCCACAGGGCACACGAGGAGGAGGCCTGTGTGCTGTATTCCCACAGACTGCATGCCACCTCCACATTCGGGTCTTTAACGAGATGGGCAGGGGCCAGCCCAGTGGTGTAGTGGTTAAGTTCACACACTCTGCTTCAGCAGCCTGGACTTTGCAGGTTCAGATCTCAGACACAGACCTACACACTGCTCATCAAGCCATGCTGTGGTAGCGTCCCATACACAAAATAGAGAAAGATTGGCAACAGACGTTAGCTCAGGGCCAATCTTCCTTGCCAAAAAAAAAAAGAAAGAAAGAAAAAAGAAAGAAAGGAAGAAAGGAGATGGGTAATGGCTTCTTCCTCCCGGGCTGAGCCTGGCCCTGGTAGACCTCAATAATGTTTGTCTAATGAATGAATGGAGACCATTGACGTGCCCCTTTCATCTTAAGAGTGGAGCCTGTATTGTGTATTTTTATCTCCACCGACTAAGGCAATTCCCAACACGTTGGATGTAATAAATCCAGTCCCAGACCATTCTCGCTCATTCTGGTCGACTGTGTGCCGGGTGTGAACTTCATCCTCTCCCTGCTTCTGTGTGTGGCCAGTGCACACTTAGTGATTGGTGAGCCACTGTCAAGGAGAGGGAAGCAGGCAGGGTCCCATCGTCACCGTGTGCCCCAAAGCTGCAGGTGACGGGTGAAGCCCACGCCACATACCCTGCGATGAAAAGTCACACTCTCTCCAACCCTTACTGAAAGAATGCGCAACAACCTAAGGATGGAAAAGGTCCTCGCATTTCCGCACGGCGGGTTCCCCTCCTCTCACTAGGGGGCGTTGTATCGTGTGAGCATCGCAGGATGTCTGCAAGGGCAGAGACGGATCTGAGAACCCGGTTTTACAGGGAAAGAGACTCCGCAGGAGCCAGGCGGCATTCATCCACGCCCCTACAAGGCCGAGTTGAGCGGGGCGGGCGCTGGGCCGACGCCCCTCAGGCCGCGCACAGAGGGCGCAGACCGAGCAGGGCCTCGCGGCAGCCGCTGCCCCACCAGCCCACACCGCGGACTGGCACGGGGGCGCAGATCCAAAGGCAGGGCTCTTCCCTGATACCAGTCTGTCCACTTGGTGGTGGGCAAAAGCCCGCATCCTCCTGAATTGTTATTGTCTGGAGGCTCCGGACTTGCTTTTTTACCCTAGATTTCTCTCCTGCACCCTCCCCCTGGCGCCCCATCTAAACAGAGGAACAAGAAAACTCCTCCTCTGAAGAAATGGGGCTCCCATCACAAAGAAGGAACCCATGTTGTCCCCACATTGCTACGTCAAAACAGGACACCCCGTTCTCGCCACACACACAGAATGGCAATCACGTGAGGTGACAGACGTGTGATCATTTCACAATGGATTTGTATGTTCAGTCATCACGTCGTGCACCTTGAATATAAAGATATAGCGACTCCTTTGTCAATTATACCTCAATAAAGCTAGAAATAGAAGAGAACAAGACATCCAGATTTTAAGGGCTTTAATAAAGATATTAAGAAGTTTCGCTACTCGAACTGTCCCTTTAGTATTGACAGGCTAGAGGGGAACTAGACTTATGAAACAACACTGCCACCTGAATCCAGGGATCTAGAACGTGGGCTCTGTAGCACGTGGTCTGTATTTCGTCCACAGCCTCAAAGCTTGCCACACAGCCTCCGCATTCCTTGGGGCCGTGTGGCTCCTCTGTAAGTCCTGGGAGAGCAGGGTCCCGGTGGATCCACTGGGGCCTTCCCTCTAAAGCGCCTGCACCCGACCTGCTCAGAGCAGATGCTCAGTCAGTATGCATGAAGGACAAACAGAGTCATACCAAGTCAGCCCCTGGGGACCATGCTCTCTCCGGGCAATTTTGGTGGCTCATCTCTGACTACAACACGGTGTTCAGTGTTGGGAACTCACTGATAAGAAGAGATGCAGTGTCCCTGGGAGTGGGCCACACCTCAGAGAGCAAAGAACCCAGGGGGCCTCCGCCAAGCACACCAACCAAAACAAGTTTGATGTCTGGGTTCGGCAGAAACAGTCACCGATGCAGATTTTGAAAAGCTGCTTCTCAGAAGTGCCCTCAAGATGTGCTTAACAACCCGGAGATAGCTGAATATCCATACTGTCCTAATTTTATATTTAAACTGTGAATATGCCAAACTGTAGAAAACCTGGACAGTTGCCTCTCTGAGCTTTTTTAGACACAACTATACACTCAGAGATAACCACCATTGTTAGTATATTTCCTTCTAGTTTTTTTCTCTGTTTCTATGTATTTGTATGTTTTTAACGGAATTACAGAGACTGAAGTTTTGTATTAGCTTTAGAACATACTGAATCTTTCTGTAACGACAAACATACATTTAAACCGCTCTCTGATATCTCCTCCCTCCGTGTGCTTCCCAGGTTATGGGAGATTTCTAGAGTCAGGAGCTGTGTGCTTAGGACACCCGCGTGATTTTAGGAGCAGCAAACGAACGGCTGTCTGGACTGAACGACCAACCTTCTTAACCTGCAAGCATCTGCTCCAGAAACATAGCCACCATTTAATCCTCACAGAACGCTGAGGCTGTGTCATTTCCCACGTTGACGGATGGAGACACTGAGGCTGGGGAGGACAGGCAACTTGTCACACACGTGGCTTGCACGTGCTGAACTCAGACCACTGTACCTCAAAGGCTGCGCCTTCGCGCTACCCGCATCACCTTAGAAAGAGGGGCCACACAGGCACACGAAGGCAGAACAACATCCCTGGGCCCAGGACAGACGGGCGGTTCCCCATCCAGCACTTCTGAAAAGCATCTAGAGAGATTTTCACTGACAGAATAGACGAGAACTATGCACGGAAGCCTGGGCCCACCCCAGTGCCCCCATCACGCGGGGGCCACAGACACTTCAGGGTATCCCCTCCCGGATGCCAGAGTGGAAGGCAATGTTCAGGACCCCAGGGGATCCACCCACGTCCAGGTGGGGAAGCAAATTCCACAGTGGAAAGTCCTGCTCTCTCTCCCACAGCCACATTTTCAAATTCAAAACTCAAGGCCCCACTCACAAACCGACAGCAAATCACTACAAAGCCCGGGGCCAGCATCCCTCTTTCATCAAAACTTTGAGCGAGTGGCACAAGTCAGACAGTTTGAGCTTCTTCCAACATAATTAAAAGTTTTTAAAGAGGGTCAACACACTTCTCATAATTAAAACCACGCAGCCAGGAGGCCGTTTGGGCCACAGGATTGTGTTCTTGGCTTCCACACAGCAGAGTGACAGCAGTCCCAAAAGACCTTCCCCAGTAGGGCTGCCCTCTTGGAGACTCTCCTGGCCATCAGCACTGACTTTCCTGATGACAGTCCTAACGCTGGCTGCCCTGATCACCCCAGAGGTGGCCCGCAGGGACCAGCACGCCCCTGAGACAGCGCTGGCCGCCCTGTGCTCCTGCTCACCAAGGACACTGGCCTCGGCTGCCCTTGGCTGAAGCCTGCTGCCTCTGTGCCCACAAGGGCCTGATCCCCAGATGACCGGCTCTGTCATTGGCAGAAGTCATTCTCACCATGGTCAACAGCGCCTAAATGTGAGTCTGCTTTTCTCCAACATCTCCATAAGGACAGCCTGCAGCTTCTCACAAAAGGCCCACTTGGCAGAGTCCAGGCTGGAGGGGCAGCCCACATGGGGAGGGGAGGGACAGAATGGACTTTGGGGATGCAGGAGGCAATGTATGCTGAGTCCTGGGCTGGCCCCTCCACATCCCTGCCTTCCTGCTCTTAGGAGCACATGGTGGAGGTGCCCCATCCCTGTCTTGAAATTCTTTATAACTTTGAACAAGGGGCCCACATTTCATTTTGCACTGGGCCCCTGGACTAACGGAGCTGGTCCTGCTTAGAAATCACAAGATCTGGAATCTCTTGCCTGTGGTTTATAGAACCAATGACTTTCTCAGGTGAAGAACCCACTCTGAGCGCTCAGACACTTCCCCTGTGCTGGTGTAGAGCCAGCTCTTCTGGAAGTAAATTATAGACGAAGCAACAAGAGAAAAGGTACTTTGGGTTTTAGAAGAAGGAATAAAGAACTTTCAGGAACCAGCACAGGAGTGCAGTCTTCAGAGCTGTGTGACCTAATTTGCAAACTGCTAAGTTTCCCTGAGCCTCGGATGTCCTCATCTGCAAATGGACCAGATGAGATCGCCTCATCCTGTGGGTCACTCGAGGTGACCCAGTCAGTGCTGGAACAAACGTCAGTTGCCTTTACAGGGTCCTAGCAGAGAGGATGAGCTGCCAACGAATGGCTAGCTTCAGGATTACAGGATTCCTCGGCCAAAGGGAGTGTACACACCATGCAGTCCAACCCTTGATTGTACAGATGGGGAAACTGAGGCCCGCCGAGGAGGCAGCTTTGCCCCAGGTCAGACCCTGAGCTGGCACTGGGACTCGGGACTTGGGACCACCCCTGTGTCAGCCACACACGGGCTCCCCGCCCACCCGCCGGCCACTGCTGGGAGGCCCTGGCCGAGGAGGCCCGAGTAGGAGGTTACCTTTGAGGCCTGGAACAAGGATCTGCACGGAGCAGGCGTCGTCCGCCGGCTGCTGAGGACATCCAGCTGGGAGCAGAGACAGGAAGGCCAGGCTAATGAGAGCCAGACCTCTCTTCATAATGAGCACTCGCAGGACACTGACTCCTGAATGAAGGAAGGGATAAACAGTGACGGGAATTCCAAAACTGGCGACAGCGAGTGACAGTGTGCAGGCCACAGCTGGGCTCACGGCCACCCCTCTGTGGGGCCAGGGCTCTCGGTAGCATTGTGGAACCTCTCCCATCGATTTGGTGTCTCTCTCCCTCTCTCTCCCTCACTCACTCGTGTGCCGACTTAAACCTGCCCCGAGAAGTTTCTGTGGCCGGCTGAGACGATGACCACCACCCCGTGAAGTGTTAGTCCAGATTCTCTTCTTCTGCTTTATCACTAGTGTTTAATACACACAAAGCGTGTTTATAGTTATAGGAAAACTGTGACGCTCAGCCACAAAACACATGTTGGAGAGCCAGACAGCTTCACAAGTCAGGCCTTGCCCAGTGCTGCAGTCCCGGGGGGCCGTTCCCACCCCGCCCCCCTCCCCAGGAGCATCCGCTCTCCCAACGGTGAACTTACCATTCTCTCACTGTTTCTGAAATAGCATCACGACACATGGATGTATTCTTAAACCTTATAAGAGAGTATATCACACTGTGTGTAGTCTTCTGTGACTTACCTTCTGCTCCAGGAGCCACCCACGCTGCTACGTGCTGCTGTAGCTTATTGATTATCTAATTCCATTAATACAGAGAGCACCAGTGTGGGATGGGGTAGGAGTTGGAAGGGACAGGAGGACACAGCCGGTCCTACATCACAGTGGGGAGCAGGCACGCTGATTCTCCCCCCACGGGCCAGTGAGGGAGTCTTGGCAGCAGCACGCAGAGCCCTGCCACATGGGACTTAGATGTCTGTCTATGGCATAGTGGATGGCATAGAGTTTGGGGACAGCTGTTCATCTGGCTGTACCAATGTCCTGGCCAAATCACGTCTCCTTTATCAGCCTGTTTCCTTATCTTAAAGTGGAGGTGAGATCCCTAGGGTTATTCTGAGGAAGAACAGTGCTGATGCACAGAGCTGGGCACAGTGCCTGGCTCATGGCAAGTACTCACTCAATGACAGCTTTCATGTTACTGTTATCACAAATTGTGGGGTGGCCCCAAGGCCAGCAACAGCTCCCAGACAAAGGAAAGACCGGGAGTCAGAGTTTCTAAACTGAGAGTGTTCTATACTCCCTGTAAAGTGCCTGTGCTTTAGCCAAGTCAGCCATGAAACGGGCACAGGTGAAAACCGTTTGCATTCTGTGACATCCTGTAGTGAGGACCTGGCTTCCCGATGTGTGGTCATGGAACAGACACTGTGAAGGGCGAGGGATGAAGACGGATGTTCACTGGACTTGGGAAAATACAGCACCCATATGATACCCCACAGAGATAGCACATCTCTCATGGCAGAGACCAGGAAACCAAAGGTAAGAGAAATTAAGTAATTGCCCAGCATTTACAACTAGTAAGTGGTGACAATGGGCTTGAAACCTGGGTCTCCTACTGCTGTTGACTTCGTTCTGCCCAACTGTCAGTTTCTCATGCGTCAAAGCAAGGGCTCATCCTCCTCCTTAAATCACAATGGTAATGGGCTTTTATTTTATTTTGTATTATTGTATGTTTGGTGGAGAGAAAAGCAGCCAATATTTACCGCATCACAAATGTGGACACTTATATGTAATTCCCCAAACCTCTTATGAAATATATGGTCCCTCATGTAAAGATGATGAAATGAAGCAGCAAGAGGTTGCATGGCCAGCCACACAGCACAGCTGGACCGTCAAACACGCTCTGGCGCCAACCCACCTCTTCACACCGCCGCTGCCTCTCCCCACCCCCGCCTGCCGGCGCTCACACAAATATTAGAACTATAAGGAAAAGGAAAAGGACGCGCAAATTTGCCCACATTCCAGGGCCCCAGGGAGGAGCTGTGCCCCTTTTAGTCTCCTTTGTCGTCTCAGCTGTGGGTCCACGTGCGAGTAATCTGTACTGGAAGCAGGCAGACGTATGCGCCACAGTCCATACATCGCACAGAGCCCCGAGCACTCAGGGCCTGGAGTTTGGCGGCACTAAACCGACTGAGCGAACAAAAGAACGAGCGAGGGGCCGGCCCCTGGCCAAGTGGTTAGGTTCACGTGCTCCGGTTCAGTGGCCCAGGGTTTCGCCGGTTAGGATCCTGGCTGTGGACATGGTGCCACTCATCGAGCCATGCTGAGGTGGTGTCCCACATAACACTAGACCTAAAACTAGGATATACAACTATGTACTGGGGGTCTTTGGGGAGAAGAAGAAAAAGAAAAGGGAACTAGTGAAGGAATGAATGGACCGAGGGCCACAACATGCCGCAGGCGGCATTCGATGCTCTTCTCCTGCTCATCGTTCTTCCATGTTCTAGAGTGTTTACCATGCCTGATGTCCACACGGCATTCCCAGGGCCAGCTCGTCGACACGTGACCTGTGCAGATCCACGGGGGAGGGGCACACGCAGAGGGCCCTGCAATGGGATTAGCGTGCCCCTGTCGCTGTCCTGGAATCCCTAGGTTTTGGAACAAAGGGGCACCTCAAAGTTTGCAGCCACTAAACTGATCACTGTCTTGTGTTCTTAACCCTAATGAACTTAGCTGCTGCTTTAGCAGGAAATATTTTGGTTCTTTCCAGGATATAGCTCTTAAAAGCAATGATAATGTTGTATGTCAATTACATCTCAATTTTAAAAGTCACAACAAACACCTACTTTTGTGCTCACGCAAATGGATACTTGCTTTTTGGTATTTGTTGGAGGCAAACTGACTGGATTTTTAAATGTCTCAGGTGTCAGAAGCTAACAAGGGAACTCCTCTCTAGCTAGAAACCACTGTGTCAAGAGACAGCCACGTCGCTTAGCAAGACTTAACGCTCTCACACTGCGGAAGCCTCAAGAGCAGCTTCAGGAGGATCAGTTACAAGAGGAGGCGACAGTGAGAGGAAAACCCAGAATAAGCCGAAGCTGGTGTTCCTCACTCACTCCTTCACTGGTTCTCTGACTCGGCCGCCCATTCGCACACCTATGCCCAGCCCCTGCCCAGGCCCCTCTCGGCCCGCCCTGAGGCGCCCGCTCCCAGTCCAGCTCAATGGGTCCTGGCTGCAGAAATCAGGGCGCCAGGCCCTGGGTGACAGCCTCCTCGTCCCAGAGCCCCGGCTCTTTCCTGCCCTCTTAGAAGAGGAATTTCATTTCATAAACGAAGAAGCCACAGCCCCCCAGACCTCTTAAAGAACAACATCCTTATCTCTGGGCCAGGGCCCAGGAGGCTCGGAGCCCTCTCCGTCAAGGAGGTTGGCTTTTCAGAGGGGAAAGGGGATTCAATTTGGAATTCTTAGCAGAGACACATTATAAGAATAAAACAGCAAATGAAGAAAAATCTGGCTTCATTTGCCAAACATACAACTGTACATTTCCATTAAATACCTAGAGCGGGGCCCAGCATCTCACAGCCACCGCGAATAACTGGAGAGAGCTGCACCCCAGAAGCATGAGGGAGCCCGGGGCTCACTGGCAAACACCCCCCGCTCCCCCCCCGCCCCCCGCTGTGTGGCTTCCTACAGTGACTGTGGGCCTCCCCATGGCCACAGCACTGACAGATTTCCACCCCAATGGCACACATTTTTCCTTCTTTTTATCAAGACCACAAAGTAAGAAGAGGTCTTTTCCTTGTTATTTTGTCCTAGCTTGATGCAAATCATCTGTCTGCTCTCTTATTTAGTACATAGACTTTTCAAAATTGTAAATGAAATCAAATAGCTGTGAAAGTTGGGGGCACTGCTCGCCTCCACCAGGCAAAGTGTTTCCCACCAAATCAGAAATCCAGTTATACCATGAAACGGCTTTAACACTTTATCTTTTAAACTCAGAGCTACTACCTAACTTCAGCCCAGCAGGGCGGCCAGTTCTAAGGGCCAGGGATCAAGGCAGGAAGGGTCGCCCTGTGACACTTCTGTCTCATCCAGTTTGGCAGACTAGATGCACCTACTCTGTGTAAGATGACCCCATTTGCCCTTGAAAGTTGTCTTCTCAAGTCCCACCTTCCCCCACACCTGACATTCCCAGCACTGAGCCCAAAACAGAGCTGTCACTGAGCACAGATCACCGCTGTCGTCCACGTGGCCCATCTGCAGGTGGTCACTGAGCACAGATCACCGCTGTCGGCCACGTGGCCCATCTGCAGGTGGTCAATGAGGACAGATCACCGCTGTCGTCCACGTGGCCCATCCGCAGGTGGTCAACAAGCCGACCTGACCCTGCCCTGGCTGCTCAGACAGTTGGTTGGTTCTGTGGCCTCTTCTTACACTAGGACTGGGAATTAGGAAAGGAATTGCTTCACCTCTGTGAATCTGTGTAAACCGCAGAGGGCTTGACTCAGTCGTCTAGTAACTGACAGATCTAAGCCTGCTCCTCAGTGGACTCCAGGAAGTTTCCACCATGAACTACTGACTTAACCAAACCTTGGAATTCTGGTGCCTGATTTACTTGACAGACTCGAGACTCTGGCCAGATCTAGGAACAGATTCCCAGCTCCGCTTCAACCCAGTTCCTACCTCTGGCTCTGTCTGGAATCTCGCCTTCCTGTCTCAGCGTCTTCCCGCTGGGGAACCGCCGTCCTGCTCTCCAGGGCTGCAGCCAACGGGCACACTAGGCACGGGGGGCGTCCTGACCGTCGGGAGCCCGTGGGGACACTGCACCCGGGAGCCTCATGGCTGCTATTTACAGAGACGGACGCAGCGCACACACGAGCAGGCATGGGCCTGGGCCATCAGACGGCCCAGCAAATCAGGCCGGGAGGCTGCTGTGTTATCTGCAAACCGCTTCCTGTTTGAAATCCTCAGCTGTCCTGAGAGGGTGGTGGGAGAGTGTGGGAACGCTGGAAACATCCGTGATGTCAGGGCTCTCCCAGGAAGGGAGGCGTGTGGGGCCCTCCTCGAGAGGCCCCTTCTAACTACTCACCCCCAACACCCCAATTCCATCTCCTTTTCATCCTGTCTCTTCTTTATATCTTTTCTGTTCTTCTCTTTTTCTTTTTTTGAAAAAATAAGCATGAGTATTGTAGAAAGTCAGGAAAGTATAAAGAAGAGTGATAATTATCACCTGGAATCACACCAGTTGGTGCTAAATACGGCTGACATGTCTTTTCATTTCTTCCGTCCGGGGTTTCAGTTCAAAAGCGTTGAGTGCATGTCCAATGCCTGTGGAGACCTAACCCACGGTGAGACCCCAAACTCACGCCACTCACTGAAGTTTCATTCAAAGACAACACACGCCCAAACACATCTCTGTGATGGGCTGGGTGGATCCAGCCTCTGAGGAGCCCAACTCTGATACAATTTGGGGGGGGGGGGGGGGTGGAACAGGACTTCTTTAAGAAAAAGATATATATAAAATTATGATCATAAAAAGTTAGGTTCAAAGGTGAATATTTATTTAGACTGAAAAGAGAAGTCATAACAAATCACATGTGTAAAAACTGACAAATTCCACACACATCACAAAATCCATGAAAAAGAATGGATTGTTTATTAAACTGTCTGACCGCATAAATAAATTTGACAACTTAGACGAAATGGACCACTTCCTGGGGAAACACAAACTACCACAATGGACCCAACATGAAATAGAGAATTGAACAGCCCCGTAACAGTTAAGGGACTTGAATGTGTGATTTAAAAACTCCCAAAAAGGAAATCTCCAGGCCAGATGGTTTCACAGGAGAACTTTACCAAACGTTTAAAGAAAAATTAACACCAATTCTCACACACTTCTCCCAGAAAACAGAAGAGGAGGAGTACTTACCAATTCATTTTATGAAGCTGGTGTTACCCTGATACCAGAACCAGACAAAGACAGTACGAAAAAAGGAAAACTATAGACCAATAACCCTCATGAATACAGATGCAAAAATCTTTAACAAAATGTTAGCAAAATAGAATTCAGTAATATGTAAAAAGATTTATAAACTGTCACCGAGTGGTGTATTTCAGGAATGCAAGGATGGGTCAATATTCAAAAACAATCAACGTTATCCACCATACTAACGAGCTAACAGAGAAAAATCACATGATCATATCAACTGATGCAGAAAAGGCATTTGACATAATTCAACCCCCTTTCATGATAAAAACTCTCAGAAAAATAGAAATAGAGGGGGAACTTCCTCAACTTGATTTTTAAAAACCTACACTAACATCATGCTTAGGGGCAAGACTGACGGTCTTCCTCCCAGGATAAGGACAAGGCAGGACGTCCACTCTCACCACTCTTACTCACCATCACGCTGCACGGTCCAGCCCGTGCAAAGGGCACATAGATCAGAAAGGAGAAAATGCAACAGTGCCTGTCGCAGAGGACATGACTGTCTGCTTAGAAAATCCCAGGAGTCTACAAAAAACTCCTAGAACTATTAAACGAATTCAGCAAGGCCTCAGAATACAGGTTAAACATACAAAAATCAATTGTATTTCTATAAGCTGGCAATGAACATGGAGACATTGACATTCAAAACAATTACCATTCACAACCCCTCAAAAAAATGGAATACTTGGGTGTAAATCTAACAAACATGCATAGGGCCTATGTGCTGGAACACAAAACACTGATGAGAAAAGCCCAGATCTAAGCAATTCGAGAGACATGTGTTCACGGATTGGAAGGCTCAACATAGTGAAGACGTCAGTTCCTCCCAAATTGATCTGCAAGCTTAACACAATTCCTGTTAAAATCGCAGCAAGAATTTTTGTAGATATAGATAAGATTATTCTAAACTTTATATGAAAAGGCAAAGGAAACAGAATAGCTAAAACAATTTTGAAAAAGAATAAAGTAGGAAGACTGAAACCACCCAATTTCAAGATTTATTTATTACACAACAAACAGAACAGGGAACTCACACAAATATACCCAACAAATTTTTTTAAAGTCTTTTTATTGCGGTAAAATACACATAACATGAAATTCACCATCTTAATCATCTTTGTGTGGAGGGGGCTTTTTTTCTTTTTTGTTGAGGAAGATTGGCCCTGAGCTAACATCCGTTGCCAATCTTCCTCTTTTTGTTGAGGAAGATTGGCCCTGAGCTAACATCTGTTGCCAATCTTCCTCTTTGTTGAGGAAGATTGTTGCTGAGCTAACATCTGTGCCAGTCTCCCTCTATTTTGTATGTGGGACACAGCCACAGCATAGCTTGATGAGCAGTGCATAGGTCCTCACCCAGGATCCAAACTCGTGAACCCCAGGCCACCGAAGGGGAGCACACAAAGTTAACCACTACACCACCAGGCGAGCCCCATCTTAATCATCTTTAAGTATACACTTAAGTGGTATTAAATGCATTGATAATATCATGTGACCATCACTACCATCTGTCTCCGTGATTCTTTCCATTTTGTAAAACTGAACCTCTGTCCTCGTTAAAGGCTAACTCCCGGGGCTGGCCCCGTGGCCGAGTGGTTAAGTTCACATGCTCCGCTGCAGGCGGCCCAGTGTTTCACTGGTTCGAATCCTGGGCGCGGACATGGCACTGCTCATCAAACCACGCTGAGGCAGCGTCCCACATGCCACAACTAGAAGGACCCACAACGAAGAATATGCAACTATGTACCAGGGGGCTTTGGGGAGAAAAAGAAAAAAAAAAATTTAAAAATTTAAAAAAAATAAAAGGCTAACTCCCCATCAGCCCCTACCTCAGCCCCTGGCAACCGCCATTCGACCTCCTGTCTCTATGACTTTGACTACTCTATGTATCTCATGTAAGTGGAACCATACAGTATTTGTCTTTTTGTGACTAGCTTATTTCACTTGGCATAATGTCTTTGTTTGCTGAGGAAGATTCACCCTGAGCTACATATGTGCCAATCTTCCTCTACTTTGTATGTGGGTCACCATCATAGCATGGCTGATGATTGGTGTAGGTCCGTGCCCAGGATCTGAACCCGGGCCACTGAAGCAGAGCACACTGAACTTAAGCACTACACCACAGGGCCAGCCCTCACTTAGCACAAAGTCTTCCATTAATGTCTTCAAGTTTCACCCACGTTGTAGCATGTGACAGGATTTCATTCCTTTCTAAAGCCGAATAATAGTCCATTGTGTGGATACATCCCATTTTGTTTATCCATTCCTCTGTTGATGGACACTTGGGTTGCTTCCACTCTTTTGCTATTAAGAATACTGCTATGGGGGCCAGCTCCGTGGCTGAGTGGTTAAGTTCGTGCACTCCGCTGCAGTGGCCCAGGGTTCGGATCCTGGGCGCGGACATGGCACTGCTCGTTAGGCCACGTTGAGGAAGGGTCCCACATCCCACAACTAGAAGGACCTGCAACTAAGATATACAACTATGTACCGGGGCGGTGGGGGGGGGGGGGGCGCAGTTTGGGAAATAAAAAATAAAAAAAAAATAAAAAATAAAAAGAATACTGCTATGAACATGAGTGTACAAATATTTCAGTTCTGGGTATACACCCAGAAGCAGAACTGCTGGACCATATAGTAATTCATTCTATTGTTAACTTTTTGAGGAATTGCCACACTGTTTTCCATAGTGGCTGTACCACTTCACTTTCCCTCCAACAGGGCACAAGGGTCCCAATTTCTCCACATCCTCCCCAGCACTTGTTATTTTCTGGGGTTTTTTGATAGTAGCCATCCTAAGGGGTGTGAGGTGGTATCTGACAGTGGTTTTAATTTGCATTTCCCTAATGATCAGCGATGTTGAGCATCTTCTCATGGGTTTACTAGCCTACAGCTGATTTTTGACAAAGGTGCAAAAGCAACTCAGTGGAGGGAAGACAGCCTTCCAACATCTGGTGCTGCCGCAAGTGGACATCCAGAGGCAGCGAGATGAGCCCTGACCCAAGTCTCACACCTGATACAAATAGTGACTCAAAACAGATCACGGACGTAAACGAAAACATAAAATTATAAAACTTTTAGGAGAAAAATCTTCAGGGTCTAGGGCTAGACAAACAGATATAGCACCACAAGTACAATCCACAAAAGCTAAAACTGATAAACTGGACTTCATCAATATTAAAAATGTTGGCTGTGGCGCCGGCCCCATGGGGTCATGGTTGAGTTCGGTGCTCTCTGCTTCTGCGGCCCAGGTTTGTGGGTTTGGATCCCAGGCGCGGACCTGCGCCGCTTCTCGGTTGTGCTGAGACGGTGCCCCGCACACAAAGTGGAGGAAGATTGGCACAGATGTTAGCTCAAGGCTAATATTCCTCAGGAAAAAAAAAAAAGTTTGCTGTGAAAGCCCTATTAATATGCAAAAATAAGCCATAAGAGGGGAGAAAACATTCACGAACCATCTATCTGTCAAAGGTCTTTTATCGAGAATATACAAAGAACTCTCAAAACTCAACAGTAAAATAACAATCCATTAGAAAATGGGCAAAAACAAGAAGAGATATTTCAACCAGGAGGATGTACAGATGGCAAATAAGCACATGAAAAGGTGTTCCAGGGGCCGGCCCAGTGGTGCAGCGGTTAAGTGCGCACATTCCGCTTCTCGGTGGCCCGGAGTTCACTGGTTCGGATCCCGGGTGCGGACATGGCACCGCTTGGCACACCATGCTGTGGCAGGCGTCCCACATATAAAGTAGAGGAAGATGGGCACGGATGTTAGCTCAGGGCCAGTCTCCGCCAGCAAAAAGAGGAGGACTGGCAGTAGTTAGCACAGGGCTAATCTTCCTCAAAAAAAAAAAAAAAAAAAGATGTTCCACATCGTTAGCCATTAGGGAAACACAAATTAAACCCACAATGAGCTATCACCACACACCTATCAGAATGGCTGAAATTAAAAATAGTGACATTACCAACTGCTGGCGAGGATGCGGAGAAACTGGATCCCTCTCGTACACTGCTGGTGGGCATGTAAAACGGGATGGCTGCTCCGGAAAACAGTTTGGCAGTTTCTTTAAAAACGAAATGACCCAGCAATTCGCTCCTGGGCATTTATCCCTAGAAAACGAAGACTTACATTCACACAGAAACCTGAACACGCGTGAATGTTTCTAGCGGCTGTGTTCATAACAGCCCCAAACGGAAAACAGCTCAGGTGTCTTTCGATGGGTGAATGGTCACACGAACACCACGGACACTACTCAGCAACCAAAGGAACAAGCCATGACACGGCCACAACTGGACGGCCCTCCAGGGACTTTGAGCGAAAGCAGCCAATCCCACAAAGGCTCCTGACTGTCTGCCTCCATTTTCACAATGTTACTGCAACGACAAAACCACAAAATGAACAGACTAGTGTCGCCAGGGGTTGAGGAGAAGTGGGCGAGGGAAGTGGGTGTGGCGATGAGAGGACCATGGAGGAC